ACTACTGAGGGGTGTTAAGGAAGATCTAAGAAACCTCAGAGACAACCTCACATCCATCAGAGCTTTACTTAAAGATGCTGAGGAGAAGCAAATATCAGAGGAACCTGTCAAGTTATGGCTAGATCGGCTCAGAGAAGAATCTCTTAATATGGAGGATGCTTTGGATGAGTGGAGGACTGTAGTCCTGCATCGGCGAACTGATGGAGCTGAGGAAAATGCTTCTTTTCTTCAGAGGAAGGTATTTGTTTTCCTCAGATGTTTTTCTTTTCATCCTGTTAGATACCATGGCATTGCTCGCAACATAAAGGAAATCAATGGACGGTTAGATAAGATTGCTGAGGATAAAGTTAGGTATCAGTTAACAAGCATGTCAATCAGTAAATTGCCAAGACAAGAAGAAAGCAAGTCTTTTATTGATGAGTCGAGCTTTCTTGGTCGAGATGATGTCAAGAATGAAATAATTAGCCATTTGTTGTGTGAGACTAGCAAAGAAGAAGGGGGTAGCCCAATCCAAACAATCTCTATAGTGGGGATTGGAGGTATTGGGAAGACTGCTCTCGCCCAACTGGTCTACAATGATGAAAATGTCAAACAAAATTTCACTTGTAGAGTTTGGACATGTGTTTCAGACATTTTTGATGAGAGCAGAGTTGCAAAAGCAATCATTGTGGGGCTTCAAGGCCTAGAAAAACAAGCAATCTTCCAATTGGAATCAGTTCCATTAGATGCTCTTTTAGATGAAATTCGCAAGTCCATAAAGGGTAAGAAGTATCTTCTTGTTCTAGATGATATATGGACAGAAAAAGATAAAGACTTTGAAGGACTGAATGCTACTTTCAAATGTGGTGCTCTGGGAAGTAGGATTTTGGTGACTACACGTAAGACTACTGTGGCAACAGTTATGGGAAGTTCACACACCATTCAGTTAAATAATTTGAGCCGAGAGATATGTTGGTCTATCATTAGGAATATAGCACTAAGAGAAAAGGACCAAAGGACTTGTGAGGAGTTCCAGCCAGTTGGGTTGAAAATTGCAGAAAAGTGCAAAGGTCTGCCGCTTGTTGCAAAGACTTTGGGAGGCCTCTTGCGGTTTAAAACTGGTATACAAGGGTGGGAGCATGTTTTGAATAGTGAGCTATGGAGAATGGAAATGGTACAAAAAGATGTTTTTGTTCCTTTGTTGCTGAGTTATTATGATCTGCCCTCACCAGTAAGGCAGTGCTTTACATATTTAGCTGTCCATCCTAAAGATAAGCTTCTTCGTTGTAGTGATATGATTTCAAAATGGATGGCTCAAGGCTACTTAGGCTTTGATGATGATGATTCACCATTGGAACTAAAAGGCTTCGAGTACTTTCAGTGCTTAGAGGCTCGCTGTTTCTTCCAAGAATTTGAGGATCCTGCTCAACGTCTTGTATGTAAGATACATGATTTGGTCCATGACTTTGCTGTCTTTTTGACAAGGGGTGAGTTTATGACATTGGAGGTCTCCAAAGGTAATAGAGATTCAACAATGAACAGAGAAAGGACTCTTCGACATTTGACAGTGACGGTGGAAAAGGGTCTCTATTTTCCTGAATTCATTCATGATGCAGAAAAATTGCGAAGTGTTGTGTGTTATGATTTTATTGGTAATGATGCTACTATCAGTGGAAAGGCCATGTGTAATTTGTTTAATCAAGCTAGACGCTTAAGGCTATTGGATATGATTAGCTATGATGGTTCAACTATTCCAGAAGAAATAGGAAACTTATTGCATTTGAGATACCTTAACTTGGCTGTTAGCAGAAACCTTAAAAAGTTGCCAAAAGCACTCTTTAGATTGTACAATTTGGAACATTTATCTTTGTTTGCCTGTTATAATCTTGAAAGACTGCCCGATGAGATAGGAAATTTAGTCAACTTGAAGCTTCTTCATACCGAAGGTTGCAACAAATTAGCTTGCTACCCGAAGGAAGTTGTGAGATTGACTCGACTTACACAATTATTAGGGCTCATTGTTAGAATTGATCGTGACGATCCTGAAGAGTTTAGCATTGGAGATCTAGCGGAGTTGAATAAACTTCTCGTGCTTTCTATGAAAATAGTGGGAAATACAATCAATGTGGGCGAGGCTAAAAAGGTAAAGCTTCAAAATTTGCAGGAGGTGAAGATATTGGTGGATGGGGACATAGAGGAAGCTGACCAAGTCATACTTGAATCCTTAAACATGTCCTCTGTACCAAGGCACAGCTTTCAAATGGAGTACCTAATGTGTGACGGCTTCAATGCACCAAGAAATGAATGGTAGGCAACTCTTTGATTAACTCGTTCTTTGTCAAACATTATAAATATTTAATTTCCTTCTTTAGATATATATTAATCATAAGCTTTGTGTTGCAGTCTTTACTATAGCTGGGCGTAAATGAGAAAGTTGTTGGCGATGATGATGGTGAAGAGGAAAGATGTCAGCTCCTGTACTTCTTTTCCTTTTTAGTACACGTTCCTTGTTGCAACAGATATTGCGTGGTTTCTTGTTGTCTAAATCTGCTATGTTCTTTTTTCTTGTTTTTTTTTATTTGTTTATGTTTGAGATGGTTTGTGAGTGGTTTTATATCTTGAAAATTGTTGAACATTAAGGCTCTAGATGATTTGCCATAATAGTTAAATGTGTGGTTTTTCAGATTGATTATCTGCATAATTTGCCATGTTTTTTTTTTTTTGTTTTTGTTTTTTTTTATTTGTTTTACATTAAGATAATAACTTATTTGTTCGCACTTCGTAAGAGAAAATATGATAGCAACACTTTTTTTTTATATACCTTTCATCAACACTCATGATATTATTAATCCATATAACATGTGTTTCTTTATTATTAGTGTTTAATAAATTAAGTTTTTTAAGTTTAAGATAATTAATATATGAATCAATCACTTCATAAATCTTAAAAAAAAAGTGCAAAAATCAGTTGCTAGTGTTTCTTTATCATGATGTCTAGCAACGTATCGATTTTTTTTTTTTTTAATTTATGGTTAGCGACATATCATCAGTGTTTTAGCTTTGTATTTAGCAACAAATGAACATGATCATTGGAATTTGGAGAGGTTACAATCAAACGTCATGAAGGAATTAGACACATTAACACTACGCAAATTGAATACTTCAACGTAGAAAAGGCATTTGTGTATTGTGGCAGTACGTTGACGTTCTTCACTACAGCATATTTGAAAATGAGACTCAATGAAATTTGGTTGGAAGAAACTATAATAAACAATTCAACGGTTGAGCAAACATGTTAGTAGTCTCACCTTGGAGGATAATCTCCCAGCTGCTATAATGGAAATTTGCCTTCCTCAAATTACCATAGTAAAGGTTTCTTAATTATTGAGATTAGCATGGTTTACAATATTTTGCTTTAGCAAATCAACCATGAGCTCAAAGAGGCATATCGTTCGTTTTTCTCATTTGAATCTTTAATTTCTAAGTCCTAATGATATAGGGAGATGCTGGTAAGGTCAATAATAGTGTTTCATCACACCATTTAATTGTTGTTAATTTTCACACTTTAGTTTCAAGCATCCCAAAAAGAGTTACAAACATGGAGTATCATTAATTGGTATCACAGTTTAAAAAAGAAAAAAAAAAAAAATAAAAATCGAAGACTCAAAACAGAAAATAAAAATGGGAAAAGAAAAAATGAATTGGGAATTCAATTTTCTAGTTCAAGAAAGAAAAAAGAAAAATGTTATGTTTCTGTTCTGAGAATAAATTATATTAAATGTATAGAATTATTAATTGAATTATAAATTATCAAGGTAGAGTCAATGAAAAGAACATAAAACAATTCTTAAAAATCATCAAAATTAACATATGTACCCAAAACCATGAAAAGAGATATATAAATAATTCATAATTCATCAATCATCACATTAATATAGAAATCTAACAATGTGTAATAAAAAAATTCCAACAATCAAAACAAAAATGTTTTCCCAACCATTTTCATTTTTGAAATAAAAAAAAAATAATTGTTTCAAGTTAAAATAATATAAAAGTAAAAGTTGAAAATCCAAAACAAAGTAATGAAAAATAAATATCAGAATAGAAAATAGATACTGCCTGACTTTTGACCTTCTTAACCCAAAAGAAAACGTGATACCCAATAGATCTCAAATGTCAAATGAGATTAGAACAATATAACAGCCTGTATGACTTACCCAATTAGCCCAAGAAGGCCGATTTTGCAGATGATGGAGGTGCTGAGTGGAGAAACTATTCTTGATCTGCAACAAAACAAGAGAAAATCAGTGAAATTTCTTGGATTCTGGAGAGTAATAAAAGAGGGAAAGCACAGAAACAGAGACCTGAAGGAGAAAAAGGGAGCAGGGAGGAGACGAAGAGCAGCTATGCCATAAGAACAAACTATGAAGATTTGGTTGCTCATCCCCTTCATAGTAGCAGCCTTGAACA